GTCCGTGGAAAAGCTGCAAGACAGCCCAATCTGCCAGGGGACACCTGGGCCACCCCATGAGAGCAGGTCTTGATCCTTTCTCAGGGGTCACCCCTTCCCCAACCTCCACCGTACATCTGCTTACACCTTTTCTAAGCCTGTTTCCTTACAGATCAGTGTTCCAAAACCAAAAAAGAGTGCTGAAGCAGCAGGGAAACATAGCAGGTATTTTTCTCAAATACACTTTTTCATCCTCAAAACTACTGAAATATTGCTATGTATCAGACAGAGAGAGCTGGTTGGTAGGGTTGGGGAAAGCAGGAGGTTGCCTAAATTGCTTTCAAAAAACAACATGACTTTTTATGTTTGTGTTTTTCTTTTTATCTGAATAGTATAATTGTTCTTCAATAAACAGTGGTATTTAACAATATTAATTAAAATTCTTATGATTTCTGATATTCCAGAATACCTGTAATTTTATTAAAAACTAATAAATTCTGATGTTGTTGATTATCTGTAACTTTATATTAGTATGTTCATTTTTTCTACGTGGGTGCACTCTAATTAAAAACCAAGTTTCTGTTACATTTTTAGGCTTTAGAACCCTGCATCACACTTGCTAATCTCACTTGTTTGTCCACAACAAAACTACAAAGAGGCAAAGTGAGAGTGTGTACGTATACGGATTTTTTTTTTTTACATAGACTGAAGAGTTACATATTATTTGCTAAGAGATAACGCTGCTGTCGTGTTTCCTCAGCAAAAAAGGCTGACAAGACTTGTTTCACATCTGTCTGCATAATATAACAAACCCATGAAGAACTAGTGATGAAAAAGCTGTTTTGTTGACAATCTATTATTGTTAAATGCACCCAAACACCAAGATTTAGGCACTGCTCGTTAGTGCTGTATTGTAGCTCAGGATTTTGTCCCTATAAATACTTTGTGTCAAAATATTTTTTGAATATATTCTAGGCTGCAAGCCTTTTTCTTACAACCCTAAAGAGCTATGGCCTCTGAAGCGTTTTATCATCTTAATCACACTTGCCCATACCTTTATCACCAAAGCCATATGATAGCACTGCCAGTCATTGATGGCTTTCAGTTTCTATTTATGACGCCAGAGATTTTTTCTTACAAATTATCTCAAAGTAGCTACTATAATAACTTAGTCACAGGAAGAAGAAAAGGAGTGGGAATGCCCCTTCTGCCTCTGAGACACTGAGATCTTCTGTTTGGGTCTGCAAAAGTGAAAAGGCAGGACTGGATCTGAGGAAGAACCAGCAAATGCTGTCCTTGCAGCTCCCTTGCACAGCCACAGCCCCTCAAGCAACTGCCTCTATGCTCCAGCACAGGAAGATGTTGAGCACTTCAAATAACTCTAATGACTTCCCTGGAAGTTCACTTAAATAATCGCTGGACAACTAATTGATAAGACCAGAACTTTGCCCCTAACTAAAAGTCTCACCTAGCAGACTCTGCTTGAAATAAATGCTTAAACAACACTAACATGAATACCAAACACACAGACATTCTTCACTTAGTCCACCACTGCTCTCTTGTCTGCAATTAACTTTGATCAGCCTGCCTTGTGGGATCACATCTTCAGTAAAGCTGCTGCATTAGTCTTGGGTATCATTAACTCTTCTGATTACCTTTTCCAACATCAAATTAAAATGCCGCTTCTGGCTCCTGCACTTTCAAATTTTCCTGAAGCCTTCCATTATTCCAACTTCTGCTATGTCAGCACTGCATTTATTCTGATTTCAAGTTTCACTCTTTAGATGCCCATACTTCATTTGCCTATGAATATCAGTTATTTCATATTGCCACTTCCATAATTACCAGCATCTCCAAAAAGGACTAAAAACCCTATGTACCAGATTTGATGCAACTTTAAAAAAGGAAAGATCCTTGTCTTACATCCAAGCAATAAAGTATATAACTTGACTTAACTGGTATTTCAAGTATTGTGCACTTTAGCAAATGCGTGAAAGAGTACAAGGAATCTAACGTAGTCTCCTCTCTCCATGGCAGTGCAGCTCTCCTTGTTCAAGGGATATGTGGAGTTGCCTGTTTCAGAATAACTCTTTAGTAACAATTTCTGGTTACGGTGGCCACTAGCAATGGCCAACAGTCTTGTTGTTCAAAATCTGTATTGTTAGAGGTACTCAGGCACTTGCCAATAAATACCAATTCAAGCATGTTATTAAGTAACAGTATTAGAAGGTTCCCACAGAAGAAAACAGTAGGCAAGATCATTTTCTCCACGTCTGCATTGCAGGCTAACAGACACAAAACCACTACAGCTTTGCTGGTAAGCCTTCAGCAGTAGTGGCTAACAACAATTTACAAAGACCAGCAGGGTCAGCAGTCTGAGCCCTGGTCCCACGCTAGCTCCTCCTGATAAAGTATTTTGATGAGAACTCCATTTTCAGACAGGTGAATAATGTGGCCCAGTGCACCACGAATCCCACTACGAGAAAGACATGGGCATACTGGAATGAGTCTGTGAAGGGCCACAAAGATGATTAAGGGACCGGAGTATCTAACTTACAAGGAGATGCTGAGAGAGCTGAGGTGGGTTTGGTCTAGAGAAAAGAAGGCTCAGGGATCTTATCCATGTGTATAAACAACTGATGAGAAGGTGTAAAGAAAATGGATCCAGACTGTTCTCAGTGGTGCCCAGTGAAAGAACAAGAGGCAATGGGCACACTAACTGAAGTAAAAGAAATTCTGTTTAAACATAAGAAAAATCTTTTTTTACTGTGAGGGTGGTTGAACACTGTGACAGCCCTGCCCAGTGATGTTGTGGAGTGTGTATTCTTGGAGATAATCGAAACCCGATTGGGCCCAGCCCTGGGCAGCCTGCTGTAGCTGATTCTGCTTGAGCTGAAGGTTGGACGGGATGATCTCCTGAGGAGCCTCCGACCTAGATCTGCACTAGTTCCAGGGAAAGCAAACTCTAAGGATGTGTGTGCCAAAACCTACACCAGTATGTAGTTTTCTTTCTGGCTCCCATGAGACATATTCTTCAACAAAGTCCCTGAGTATGTCATGTACCTGCTCCCAGTCTGTGATCTGATCTTCCTCAGGACCCTCCACCAGACGTGGCCAGCCACACAACACCAGTAATCCTCTGCTGTTTGTCATATGAGTTTGCTTTGACCTTTCCCCCATAAAAATCTAAACTCACATACATATAAAATTCACAAACTGAAACAAAATGGAAACATGAGAAAGAAATTTGGTGAAGCACCAAGCTATAAGATAATATACATTCATAGTTCTAATCCGTATTTTCAAGTTATTATCTACATAACCTTACTAGCCTATTCCATCTAGAGAGATTCAACCAGCAAACACATAACATCAGATATGTCTCCCAAACACTTAAATCTGGAAAAGGTGTTTACTACCATATGTGCTTTTGTAAACTAAAGGAAATATAATTTAATATGAATTTCACATCTCATTACAAGGGGAAAAATCTCCTGGTTCTCAAGCATTTTGTAAAAGGGACAACACTTGCATATTCCATATTTACATTTTTAAGAATTCAGGTCATAAATATTTTAATAAAACAAATAACTTTAATACATACTATAGTTAGTTTAGGACAATTTCATTAAATTGTGACATATGAATATACCACACTGTTCAAATAATGAAGAGAACATGTGAGTTCTAGCAAGGTCATGATGAGAGGGAGAGCATAGAATAGCTGTTATCTAAAGAATATCCATCATGGGGAATTGAATTTGATGCATCTCATTTTCACTTTGTCAAAAATAGTTCATATTCTGGTTGAAGACCAGAATGCTACCTAGGACAGCAACTATCCACAAGGCAAGTATTATATCTTCATTTGACAGGTCTGGGGTCAGGTAGGTCAAATCAATACTTCAGAGATCTGTCTGTGGTCAGAAATGGACAATAAAGAACCACATGATAGATGAATCTGGCATACAGGGAAAAGAACTCATTTAAAATGAGAACTATTGATAAGAATAGAAAAATGGATTTCACTCAAAATAAAGGGAAGAATTGTATTTCAAGAACATATTAGAAATATCATATGGACTAATTCAGTATGATATAAGAAAGTAGAATTCTACTTATCATTGCTTTAAGTAGGACCCCCATTTTAATCAGTATGTCGAAACACAGACAGGAAAAAAACCTAACCATTTGTTTATACGGTTTTGTGCAACAGGCTGAAAAAACCCAACTTTTTTCAGATACTTGCAAAGTTCCACAGACATTGAAGGCAAAATAATAATTATAGATGTCATACTGCACAGTGGAATGGAAAGGGATCAGGAATATATCGGTAAGCAATACTTTTTACCCATTCATTTCTAGTACCTGACAAAAAGAGAAAGAAAAATACTGTTGACTAGTACATTACTACATGGACGCAGAAACATAGAACATATGACCTCCTGATAAGCAGGTTACTTTCCCCCTGGCAGCTCAATGTTCCTAACTTCATTCTTGGAAAAGTTTGTGCCACAGTCTTCACTGAAGACAAACTCTAGATTAGAGAAGTTGATCATCATAAATTAAACCAAATCTTAAAAATATGATACAATCACTCAAAAAAAAAAAAAAAAAAAAAAATTAATGCCTCAAGATGTCTCTTTTGCCTGTGTTTTATTCTAGGATAAACCTCACCAAAAGCCTGTTTTATAGCTTCAGTCAGCCTTTCTTTTCTCTATTTAGCATTGAAGACAAAAGTGGAGTCTGAATTACTTCCAGTGTATAGGGAGGACTTAGGTCCGCTCTACCTTTTGCTTTATAACCCGCATTGCCAGGGTTTTTTGCAAAAGATAGTAGTAGTCTTCTGTGGAATTTTATAAGATCTTGATATAATTTTCCCCTAGATTGGGACTGCTCAGCTATTGGGATTTGGTTTGGACTTACTTCTATCAAATAGATTCACTAACATGTGAAAAACACTTTTTTCTTATTATTTCAAAGCTTTATTTTTAATATTGGCATAGAACAAAGATTCTTACCAGTAACCTTCAATTCAACTGTTCTTCGTATAAGCTTGCCTTCAAACTTCAGTTCACAGGTATAATTTCCTCCATCTTCTTCCTGGACCTCTTGTATTAAGAGAGTATTTCCCTTCTGAATTACAATGCTTCTCCACATTTTTGGCTTACATTCCTGCAGAAAAAAATCCGTTTCCAAAATTACCCAGCTTGTATGACATAAAACAGTGCTGCCTGATCAGATTTTGAGTATTATACATAAGTAAACAACCATCTCAATATATTTTGCAATTCAAATTCAAATATAATTTCAGAAAACACAGAGATCTGAAACTAGAATTAATTTGAAGACAGAAATTAAACACAAATGTTTTTAAGGTTCAGTAATTCCCACTGTATCAGATGGGCCATGTTTAGTATGTGGTGCCCTGAAGCAATGGTTAAGTATCTTCTCTTTTTCATGATAAACAATTGCCAAGACCTCTACTTTAGGATGGACCATTAAAATACATCTCTGTTTAAAGGGAGTAAGGGCAACATCTGTTAAGAGCTAGCCTGAAGGCAAACCTTACACACAGTCTCAGGCTAGAACCATTTACCAACAGAAGAAAACAGGCAGAACAGCAGTTTTGTGAGCAAGAGAATTCAGGAAGCCTGGTTTCCTCATGGTCTTGTTTCTCATCACTGGCTTCTCTGGCACCTGATAAGCTCTGATTCAGCCTTTTCCCATCACTGGGCTCTTTGTAGCATCACCCCTGGGTCCTCTGATGGAGTACATGGTACTGATGGCCTGCAACTCTCACTGACTTCTCCAGGCAGACCGTAGCTGTTACTTGGCAGATTTAGGTTCATCACTATGAATTGTGGTTCTACTGGAATAGCATTTGAGTCCTTCTGTATAGTGTGTGATACAGTGCAAGTCCTAACATACTGTATCCTTGCAGCCAGATAAGTCACCTTCCATCCTAACAGTACTCATGATTGAATACCTCTTGGAATGCTCTGAACTAAAAGCATTGTCTCTTTAAAATGGTACCTTAAGATTATATATTTATTGTGTCTCAATAACTTTAACATCAAGCTTGTTCTGCCTGCAAACAAAATCACACTTTTCTCAGTTCTCTAAAACAGTCAGTACTCCTGACAGTTCTGGAGGCTCTGGCTAGTTCTGTACCCAGAGCACACAAACGAACACAGGGCCCGAGTACCCTTAATGCCCCTCTATTTCCTCTCTCAATGTGGCAACACAGAATAAGCTCTCAGACTGCAGCTGACAATCTCGCATCAGAGACATCAGACCCAGCAACTTCAGAGATTCATGTAAATAGCCCAGACCTATGCCCCATTTTCTGCTCGTCTGCAACAGTAGTGTCAGAAATACAGCAAACAAAATAGAACAAAGCTTTTACTTCAGAAGGCATCCAAACAAGGAAACATCTTGACATGCAAATATATTGTATGACAGCAAGAGATCAGAATGACAAATATAATTTCTTCATGGGACTCCACATACATTCCAAATCCACAATGTCAGATTATACATTAAAGGATAATAATGATGAAATAAAAAGATGGGACTGTGAGCTTCTGGACTTGAAAATGCAGCACTGAAGTGTTTATTCCAATCTCTAGTAGCACAAATTCAGTTAGAATGTGGTCAGATTTCAAATTCTGAAACTGTGCAATACTACTGCAGGTAACAGAGCGTTCAGGTTATCTTTCTGTTTCCCAAGCACAGTTGTAAGGGCAGTGTAATCTTGTCTTGCATGTGAGCTTTAGTTAACACCGATGACAGAGAATGATCAGAATCCAGATCCTATCTGCTGTGCTAAGAGGTATTCGAGCTTACTTTTGTCACTAAATTGCACTGACATTGCTTGAGACTCATGCAGGACACAGATTTGAGCTGGAAAATGCCATTAAATCCTTTCTGATTTGCACCCAATTTTTAGTCCTATTTAAAGGTACATCAACCACCTACTTGGAGTAAATAAACCTCAACAGTGGGCAAAGAATAGGATTCACTTCTATTCAATCCTGATTTAGGAGGAATACAATTCCCAGAACACACAAAGTAGGCATATTTCAGATATGCACCCTTTCAGTGCAGCACTGAAAGACCCTATCATATGTGACCAGTTTCATATTCTGTCTTTTATTTTAAAAAGTCTGGCTGCAAAGAGATATATAATACATCTTTGTAATAAGAAGGGCAACATCTTAACTACTACAGAGATTAATGTTTTAGCACGAACAATGTTTGCGCTACTGTGGTTTTACAGAGAGGAATTGTTCTGTTGGAACTGTACCACTAATTACCTAATCGTTTCTTTTTGTATCAACTTAAAACACTTCATATTAAAAATTATTTATAAGTCTTTCTTTTCCAAATTTTAGCTAATTAATTTTTCTTCTACTGACTATGCAGGCTTTCTAAACATATGTTGAAAATGCCTGGTTTATTCTGCCTGTTTTTCACAGACTAGTTCAATACACAAAACTAAAAGCAAAAAAGAAGCTTGAAAATCATAACAATTTCTATTTTAAGCAACGAAAATGGCCAAGAAACAAACCAATTAAAAAAATTATCCAACTAGTCTTCATATTGTGAAAACAATCTAGATTTTACTGTCAGAGGTCTGCTAATTTCTCTAAAAAGGTAAGTGCTTCATTGTATGACTCTTACTTGTTTAATTAATTGCTTTTTTCTGCTTTTGCACCATGTTTACCTCCTAGAAGAATCTGAAAGTTTCTTTTTCTAGCCTACTTATTTTCCTTAGACATCTTAAATCTTTTGGAGTTTTCTTCCCCCATAATTAAGTTGTGCACTATTATGCTTCTTTTTCTCTTCCTTGAAATTTAAGCGGCAGCACCTCAACAACTCAATTTTTTTGCAGGGTAGATAACAACTACCTGTCCTTCACCTGACATTTGCATTGTTTTCACAGCCCTTCCTTCAACCCAGGAGTAGAAAAGAGATGGTGGAAATGGATTAAGACTCCACATTCAAGATGTAATATACCTTTTTCCTCTGCCAGTTGATTTTTCATGAAACTGCTCTTACTGTTAAATCCCATTCATTCAATCATGCCTTGACACATACATTTATTTCAGAAAAATCCTTAAACTTCTTGTCAAAACAGTTCTAAGGTATAACAGGGCTGTGTATGTATCAATGGCATTAATTGTGGAAATCTTTAAAAATAAATACTTCATGCAGGGTAATTCTAGCTAGAAGTGAAGTTCACACTACTGTTAAAACAAATCCTCATAGCAAATGTTTTATTACTTATTGGGTATGCATGTGAAATCTATTCAGGCATAATTATTTTAAGAGCGTGTTTAAATGATAGTTAACTCCCTGTAAATTGATGCAATTATTGGCTCAGATTCATTAATCCTTCCACATAGAGAAGCCTTCTGGAAGACAGGGTGAGTCCTGCACATGGTGGGCTTGCACCATTACTATCCTGTCTGACGGTATTTCATTGGTCACAAGTCCAAACTCCCTGACCACCAGCAAACTGGCAGGTTTGCATGAACACAAGGATTTCTCTTTTCAGCCACAGGTATAAGAAGGAATCTCGAGGACTTCCTCATATTTATTTATCTACTGTTCTATTTTGGACAACTTATGGTCTCCTCTTAGATGAAAAGCTCTAAACTTTTCAGCATAGAAAAGGAATTGTCCCCAAATGCCTATGGAGCAGATTTACACAAGAAGATGGCTGATTACACCTTTGTGTACACGTCAAACTCAATGACAAAGGTAGAGGGGAAAAACTTGAGGGATCCAGAGTGCTCTGACTGGAAACAGATACCTTCTTCAGAAAGTGAGGGTCAGATCCTAAAGTAGAATATCACTTTACATTATTCTTCAGGAGAAGGGACCTGATTTTTGTTACACACGTTCCCTCACACAGCATGATATTAAGCCCCAGATTGCGGTTTGCAGGGGTTACCCCAGTACTCATCATATTATTTTGAAATCCAAGTAATCATATATTTTCTAGAAACTGGACTTACGCTGTTTTGAATAGGCAGACTTCTATTAACAGTTAGTACCATAATACCCTCTAGAATATTTTTTCCAAAACCCTGTTTCAGGAATAATTTTCAAGGGATAACCTGAGATACATACCTTCTGCATAACATTGACATTACACATTACTGAGCTTTGTGACTCAGGTCCAGATAACATAAGTGTTGTCTAAGAACTGAACTGATAGGACCTTACTGTTAGTTATGGATAAGGAGGTTATTCCACCAATGTCTCTTTTCATTACCAAGCCAGATTAAAGGCTGTCAAATCAGATTGTCTCACCATTATCATCCAACCACATCAATTCTGTTCCATTTCACCACGGTGATGACTTGTCAGTCAGCTGTCACACTCCAGCCTGGTGTCACACAACCTGTGTGTGCAATCCAGGTAACACATGTGGGCATATGGAAGAAAGACCCTTCCACTCCCTGGCTTGGTCAGCACAAAGCATCACTGATGTGGGGTTGTATGTGCATCTTCCTTAGACTGATTTTTGCTTCATGACAGGTGAAGATTATTCCTGCCAGACTATTTTTGCAGTGTGCTCTTGCAAAAAAAAAAAAAAAAAAAAAAAAAACGTGTTCAGTAATACCTAGGTAGATACGGCAAGAAACAGCTTCTCTCTGGTACCCTCTTTTCTCCAAGATTTCAGACTTGACTGAATACATTTATTTTATGTACGAACAGCACTGAAGATATCCACCCATATGCTGAGAGAAACAGCTTCAATGGCTGAAAGAAAAACTTTGTTTATACTACCAGTAGGTTATGGCACACATTTTGTTACTGTAAGATTAAACATGTGAGATTTCTGTAAAAAATAGAAATAGATGACAACTTTTATAATTGCTCTTTTCTGATGCAACCTGCTAAGGAGGAAAAAAAAAATCTGTAGCTTTACACATATTACTTATTTCACACAAAATAACTATATTTAAAGAATGTTACTAAGGTTGGCAAATCAAGCACTCAAAATTTAGGATTTAGCTAGTTTGTGTGTTTCTGTCTTCATTACCTAAACCAAGTTTGTCCTAAACCCATTCTGCCTTTATCCCTATGATCCAAATTCTATTTTTCAAGGACCCCACTGAGCTCTTCCTCTTGCCCAACTATTTCTTGTTCCCTCTGACTCTCAGGTCTTTATTCTTCTCCATTGTTTCTTGCAGCAACTCATATCTGAGTGCTTTTCAAACATCAGACTTTGGTCCAAGTCCAGACAATGGGTAAAATCTGCAAGACCTTGCTGTGGTCTTGGTACCTGAGGTCTGCCTGACAACCCACATTTTAGTCATTCTTCTGTTTTCTTGGGGAGCTACATAAACACATCACCAATACATCTGCTGCTGAAAGTGGTGTGAGATACTTGACAAGCCTTGGAGAAGACACAGCCAGCTGTTACCTGCTGAGTGGTAAAAGTGTCTAACAGACCTCAGTTAAAATTACTCAATGAACCTCAGCAAAAGTAAATGCATCTCTCTGAAACTACCCAGCAGACTTAGATAAAAATTAACAAGCCTTGGTGAAATTACCCAATAGACGTCATAAAAATCAATTGGGTAGCACTACTGAAGGTGGTAGCGCTGATACACCTTTGGCTCCTTTGTAGGTTGCCTCCCTTTGTTCCTATCTCAGTGCCAGGCAGGGAGACATCCCACCAAGGTGGAAACTGGTAAAGAGGCACATTGGTTTGGGACTGTGGCATTGCTGTTAGAGAAGTCATCTGACCTCCTGCGCAGAACATCCTCATTAATGCTGATTTCTGTTCAACAATGACTACACGGGGTAGTTTTGCCTGTACTTTAGTATTACTTCTGTAATACTGGGAGAGCATCCTCCAGATCAGTCACAAACCACTGCAGGTTCAGAAAATGCCATCTCTAAGCCTCAGACTGAAAACAATGGAAGTTTTGTATAGTTTCAGTGCAATAGCAATAAGACAGCAACAGTTACCTTGTACCACACCACATCTGGCTCTTGACCGGCTGTTTTGTAATCCTCAATATCAGGACAGGAGATTGTCTTTCTCTTAGTGACTTCTGATTTTTCCAGATATCTGATCTTGCTGTTGTAGCAAAGCCCAGATTCATTCTCAGCTACTGTCAAGGACATGGACACCTTCATGCAATACGTTGAGTTTCTGCAGGGACAGAAATGTTTTCATTTATCCTACCTTCTTTTTACCATGTTCATTTCAGCACAGCAAGTTTCCTTGTTAAGCTCTTATCTTCACAAACACTTCAGTGACACATTCAAATAGTGACTGTCATGTTATGTATTTCCAACACAGAGGAATTTCTAGAAAATGTAAAGGCTCATTTCTGATTTACTATGAAGAACCTTGTAGAAATTTTGTTCACAAGTGATCTAACCCAGCAGAGCTGCTCTTTTGAGCTTGCAAGTCTACAAACACAGGAACCTGTTGGCATGTCAAATGTTGGTCAGGATATACTGTCCCATTTCCTCTATGTGTCACAC